TCTTCTTCTTCTCCTTCTTCTTCTTCCAATTCTTCTTCCTTTGATTTTTGGACGTGGATCAGTACATCTGGTAAAAAGTAGTAGAAAAATATCAACTTACTTGTTTCTATGAAAAAAGACTCGGAATGATTTCCTTGTGAGTAGGGGAGAAGGAAGTTGGGTTGCGGCCATCATCCGATCGAGTGTTTTTATGTAAGAAAAGCAACCTATTAACCTCTACGGAGACTGAAACCAGTATTGCGTAATCATCGGCGGCAAGGATGTTTTATAGTCAAACTCTTAGCGGAATCCTAAATAAGTGGCCGGGAAAGAAGACGTTTGGTGTATATAGGTTCTTACCTGTATTATTCATCACAGGAGCTGCTTTGGAATGGGTCATGATCAATGCCAGAATAGCACCAGGACGAGAAACTTTTTGTAAGTCAAACTCCCAGTCCCATGCGTGTAACTTTGTGTGTCTGTTATCTGAACAGTGCAGTGTAACTTCCACTCTTGTAATTTGAATAGATTTATTGTACTTGCACTTGCTTGCAACTTTAAGGAGTTGGATAGTACTGCGATGGATGTAATGAAATGTCACCAAGGGATTATCCTTTGTTCAGGTGAATTAATGAATTAATGAATGGAACAACTTTAGAATACCCCACCAGAAAAATTAACAAAATGTTTGTAGGGTACCAAAAACTTCACCAATGAGCGAAGCTTAATCTCGAGACCTAAGCTTTGTAACACTAAACCTAATCCTAACCCTAGGACTTTTGAATTTCACCGAGTCCAGACCAAGTACCAAAATCTTTCAAATGAAATTATGTTACCTGAAAAAGAAGCAAGTATGATTATGATCTAAGCTAAATATGAGTCTAAAGATCTGTGCATGCTACATGTTCTGTGAAAATCTGTAAAGAAAATAATGAAAATAATCGAACATTGTGCTTCTGCGATGATTGCAGTACGACAAGGAACTACGAACACAATGTTTGTTTGTGATTGCTATACTTTCGGGTTCATGAACAAATTTAATAAAATCATAGAGATAAAACCATGTGTGGTCCATCTCATGTAAATTATCATAAATTTTAGTATCAATATGACTACCGGTACAATGTAAACTTTATCTTTTTCTCATGTGTTTGCAATTGCAGATGATGTGTACAGGAGAAAAGAATCAGAACGCCGCTATGCCAAACGACTGGAGGAAGAATATCAAGATTAAATAAACTATTAATTGTGCATGAACAACATATGAAAAAGGAAACTTGCTTATTCAAGAGGAACAAGACATTAGCGTGAAATAGTGAAGAGAAATATTGTGATTGAACACTACATTGGTACAGAAGTCAAAACGTCTACCAAATAATTTGGGAGAAGCTTTGTCATCAGTGCTGAAGTAGTCTTCCAATATGCCGGCTGGTGTTGACTGGTACCCATATCTCAAGTTCATGACGGCCAGTATGCTGACCATGTTTCTGGGGGCACAGACTGTACATTCATATTACAAGCCAGACCTGGTAGGCTGTGCTTGTTATGTTTTGTTTTTGTTTTTGTTTGTCTTGTCTTGTATTGTCTTTTCTTGTCTTGTTTTGTTTCAGGAAATCTAATGAGTGGTATAGTTCAGTTTCAAGTTTTATTTCTGCATTTTCCATAAACAATAACAAAAATAACAATGAATACATTTTAGCAATAATATTAATAATAATAATAATAATAGCCTAATAGTCCACTCCAAATTTTATTAAACCGAAACGGAAATTATTTTTGCCCAATTGATCGTGAGCCCGGCAGCCACTGAGCAGCGCCAGATCGACGTTGCTCTATCCCTTATTGTTGAACGCCAAACAAGGTAGCAACAACTCCCATCTGTTAACGTCTTTTGGTATGACGCGGCCGGGGTTCGAACCCACGACCTCCCGGTTGTGAGGCGGACGCTCTACTGACTGAGCCAACAATATAATGATAAGTAATACAAGTAGTAATTCACAAATAAATAAATATAAATAATCAATAGTACAATTAATCGTATTTGAAAAGAAAAGAAAGAAAAGGGGGAGAATGCAGAAGACCGATATCGTAAGCAGAGCTTGAAATGATACCGGCCTTACGAGAGGAGGAGAGGAGACAGGAAGAAAGAGCGGGTGAAGAGAGTGCTGTGCAAAGTGAAGAGTGCACTGCGCGAGCTCCTCAATCTATCAAATAATTTCCTTTTTATATACAAATAAACAATGAATATTTATATTAAAACAAAGTACATGTAGTATATTATGACCAGAATCTAATTTTCATACTTGATCAATAAATATTCTTTCATCACTTTAAATGAAACAAGTGTTGTACATAATTTTAATGTTATAAGCAAGGAGTTCCACACATCGGGTCCATTGTGTCTTACATTGTATATCTCTGACTATCCATCTTCTGGTCTCTAAAAATATGGGAAACATGCAAAAAAAATTGAGACCCTTTTTAATGGTGACTGACAACAACTGATGGCACATTATGTATCAATTAATATAGCATTTTGATATTATTTTGTGTGCAATTTTTGTGTGCAATGTGTAATATTTCACAACAAGAAAAATGTACAAGGAGAGCAGTCCTCCTCAGTGACCAAGTTTTTTAGTTTCAAAATTCCAAAGGGACTACATCTTTTATGCCAATACCATGACTCTTGAAAAATTAACCATGTAAAAGTTATAGAGAGAGAAAAATAGAAAGAGAAATTGCAAAAGCAATTTGAAAACGCTGTACATTTACACTGTTCTAGAGTGTTGACCTTCATTAGAAAACACTGTGCCGCTACATATTATCATATCAAGTGAGAAATTGAAGTGATAGTTTTACCAAGTGGGCTTGATTTTGAAAGGTGTGATTTTAGTGCTCTCTGAAAACATTACAAGGCACATCCTGTTTCGCTGCTATGAAAACAATATTCAATTTGAGAAATAATGTTGGTGTTATCATGAATAAGGCCGACGTCTGAAATCTGTCTATCTTTGTTAATTGTGCCCTGCCGTTGACATTGGGATGTTCAGATTGTGTACATATAGGCCCGTTTCTACATTTTATGTATTTTTATTTCAATCTTGTTATTTTCATTTCCATTTAAAGTACCTCAAGAAACCTTTGTCTTAGCAAGGTTACATAAAACACTATATGTTAAAGGGATCGTTTAACAGTTAAATCTGAGATACACGGCCCTACGTGTTATCAGTGTCAGTGATATGGTGTAATATTGAAGCCCTACAAAAATTGCGCTTCAAAATGATCAAGAAGTGCCTCAAAAAAGTAAAAATCTTTGAGTGACTGGTTTTACCACACTCGTTTTCCCCAATAGACTGTAATGTTATGAAAACCATTAGGCGAACGGTTTTCAAAATTTGTAATTCTAATCATAAATATCTTGATAATCAGACAGGCAATCGGCTTGTAAAAGTCATGGGGTTCCTGACTGACCTAAAGGTTTATAATTATCATCGCATCATGAGCTAAATCCAGAATTTTGTTTCAGAATCTGAGACAAAGTTACCGGATCCCTTTAAGACTATATGACTACGGTATATGTTTTCATTTCAAATCTCCCTTTTTTAATGACATTGGAAATCCAGTAATTTATCATTAATGTTGTACAATAAAAGTGGCTAATTTGAATATTCTCCATTTTTTTCCGTCTGTCCTCTTTGAAATGCAGGAGATACCCGAGATTCCTCCTGCCCTGGGTGAGCTGGGAAGGATGAGGGATGAAGCCAAGAGGAGACGAGAAGAAGAGAGGAAGAAGAGTTCTGAAAAGGCTTCATGATGACATCAAGGAATGTGTACAAGATGATCATGAAACTCTACTGAAAGTATTTCATGGAGAGACAGTTTACTACAAATTATTAATTCATCATCATTTTGTGGATTGAAGATAATAAATATAATTTTTTGTGGGTATGTTTGAGAGTTAACTTTATATGTATCATCAATACAGATAAACTTTCATGGTAGTAATAATAGTGCAAATTTAAATTTAAATTGTTCAGGTTTGTCATAATTGATAATCCTTCCACCCCAGTATTATTGATTTATGCTTGGTTGCTGTAACAGCTTTTTAAAGATTCATGTTGCATTGCTGGATGAAAACTTGCATATATTTAAGACTGATAATATTGTACAATCCATTATGTTCCTGTCAAGTAAGCAATAGGTTCTTTGAGGAAACACTACAGAATATACAGTGCATGTGGAGGCCTATACTTATTGCAGCGATTGTGCCTTCTCGGTCTCTCGGTATGTACAATAAAGCATGTTATCCAAAACTTACAAACATTGGTAATGAGCTGGATATGTAAAAGTGTATATTTTGAGGAATTTGTTTTCTTGCTTTCCTTGAGCCATTTTATTCATTTGATGTATATCTAGGTCCATTTTACTAAGATATAAAAAATGGTCGATTGATTCTGACCAATAATACCTATATACTGGTATCCAGTATGTAAAACAGGGCCTTGATGTGCATTTCATGTGAATGGTGTCATAAAACTTTGCCAGGATTGCCTAATTTGTGATAAAGGATGCTGGAAAAGTAAATATGGACTTTGAACAGAGGTATATTTAGTTTTCAATGTGTATTAATGTTTCGTTTTTGAGATGAAATGGATAATCAGACTTTTGCAGAAGGAACATATATATCGTCGCTGTTTTCACGAAGTGACGGTAGTGAAAAAAAATTGCATTCACTTTGCGTTACGATTTTCCTCACTACCGTCACTTCGTGAAAATAGGGACGATATATACATGTATGTGCTACATAAAGGTAGAGAAACCTGACAGAGATAGAGAGAGAGAGAGAGAGAGAGAGAGAGATGGAGAGAGAGAGATGGAGAGAGAGAGATGGAGAGAGAGAGACGGAGAGAGAGATGGAGAGAGAGACTACAAGGCATGGAGAAAGAAAAGAAGATGGACAGTGTTAGGATATAGATGGACAACAAACTTATATATGTAAGCACATAATACAAGATAGTGACTAGTGTAGAAAGTATGTAACCACATATCTTTGCAAGTAACAAACGTGCAAAAATACTACAAGATAGGCATTTTATTTACAAAGATGCTTTCTTATTCTGAAAATGTACAATATCTACAGAGAAGTTCAATATCCATATTGTTCATAAAGACTTGTTTTTTGTGCATAATGAATTCGATTACCAAAATATTTAGGTTACGGGTGGTCTAATACACACAACCCCCTCCCCCATCCCTTATCCATAGTGTTTAAATTGTGTGGTAGATAATCAAATGCCATAGGATTCTGGTCACAGGAAATTGTGAAGAACAAAAAGACCCACAGGATTAGTAATATAAACTTTAGGAATGTGTAAAATTTTATATCAAATGTAAGCTTCTACTTCTACATCCAACATGACCCACAATGTTAAGCTTTTTGAGCCTTGGAAGAGTTGTCAGAAACCGCACAAGACCCACAACATCTGTCTCACGGACTGTCAGTCAACTGGACATCTAGCTCTCTGTGATTCAAAGAAAACACAGAGCAAGCAAGACCCATCAAACCTTCAATAATAAACTACAAATTTTTGTAAAAGATTATGTGTAAAACATTGTTATAATCGAGCATGTGTAAAGATTCATATAAACATAAATGCTCTTTCAGATAGAAGGTGGCAAAACCGTGCCAGTTTTTTTGTTAATGACGTGAGATTTGCTTCATGTTTCTGGATCTTATAACAAAGAGCTCAGTGATGCATCTAAGTGAATACCCTCAAGTCCTTTGTGGTGCACAGTTGCCATTCATTTTACATTTCAAAACAAAATTGTGGCTTTGTTGCTGCAGTACACCGTGCCATTTCTGAACAAGCCTTCAGATAATTACAATATATGAATGACCCAGCGTTATTAAAATGAACCATGGAAGCAGTAAATTTCAGTTGATAAATTGTGTGTTAACTTTTAGTTACCGGTACACAAGCTTATCATGAACATCCCAAACATTACATTCCTATACTCGTTGTATTACAGTAACTGTCTTGTACATGTAGTTATAAATTTCACTCTTAATGTTTGCACTACCATCATGCATTGGTAATAGATGATGACCTGAAGAAATAGAACCACTGGAATGTAACAGTCACTGGTCATATTTGCAACTGACCAGGGACCCATTTCACAAACCTTTTCTGTCAATGACAAAAATCGGTGACAAATCTGCTGATTACAAATCAGAAGCAACTTTTGTGAAATGGGGCCCTGGTATCGATAGCTGGCATGTGCATCCATTTGGGGAAATTGTAATACTCCTTTCATATTTTTAAAATCAGATATCCAGCAAACACAAACAATAAAGATAGTACATGTATAAACATAAAAACTGCCTCAGAAATGAAGCACTCCAGCTCTTAGAGTCTATGGACAAAGAGATGAAGAGAATCCGATCACAAACATTCTCTGTTCATGCCATGATTTGTAACACTACAGCTCTTTAGAATCTATGGACAAACAGACTAAGAAGTGGAGATGAACCAATCTGATCAATTCTTCGAAAGTTTTATAGCACTCCAGCTCTTTAGAGTCTATGAACCAACAGGTTAGAGATGAAGAGGAACCAGTCTGATGCGGCTGGCATCTTGCGGGTGTCGTGATGCTATGTCGCAGCGGAGTAAGAGTTCTATGTAAGGAGGCCAAAATGCTTCATGTATAGAGACGTATGGGTCCGTATCACCATCCATTCCTTTGTTCATCAAGAGCTTGAATGAGAGAAAAAAAGGAAATTACATGATTTACGATTTTTAACCATAACAAAAATACACACAAAAAGCGTTCGTTTTTCTTGACACAGTACTGACTAATATAGTTGAGAACCGTTACTCCAAGAATGATACACTACATACACTAAAATATTTTGCAGTATGTGTTGGTAATTGAAAACTAGAATGAGAGAAATTTTCTCAAAAAGACACCAAGGACAATTTCCAACAATGATTCAGCATTAAAGATTAACAATCAATTTGAGTATATCAAAATTAAGATTACAATTGTGTGTACATTGTATTTTAAATGGTTAAAAACCACAGTATCAAATATGATGAATGACTGCTAATCTGCAGATATGATCTAATGATACATTTGAAATTGGGCCATTGGAATTTATACAAACAAAATGAAAGTGAAATCTTATCCAACAGTCAGTAGAATATTCTTATTTCATCTAATAGAGAAGTACTGTACATGCAAAGATACCTCAATTATCTCTAGGAGTGATATGTAATTGATCTGTCCTGCCTGCAAATACAAAAAGAAAACAAAATACAAGAGCATTGATATCTTTTCTAATAACATGATCAAAGTTGTTCATCTTTCTGCACAACTTATTAATCGAACAACCAAGGTCACTATTACATGCAAGTAACATACATGACCTAAGTTTGGCAGCAATCCATTATACAGCCACATGCACATTATGATTCATTTTTCTAATGCGAGATTGACTGAACACAAGTATTATTTCTAATCTTCTTGAATCTTGAAAACACATTTAATGTTTTATCACATTGATTAGAGTCAGTTGTAGCTGTTCATGCATGTGTGTTTACAGGTTGTCCTGGAATCACCATAAAGGTGACCTATGATTATTTTTTTTATGTTATGATGGGATGTGTGTCTGGACACGTAACAAAAATAAAGCCTTCTCTTTTGCCTTTGGATTTAATGAACAAATTCATCACATGGTACTAATCATCATAATTATTTGTCCTTCATAATATTGTCCAACATAAGTCTTAAAATATTTATGAAATATTGCTTGTAAAATTCTCCAAATTACTGTTTGAAATGGCCTGTCTGGATAACCAACTTGCCTAGACAAACAATGTGGGTAGGAAAAAAATAAAGAGAACTTTGTGCCCCAAGATGTAAAAAATAGCAACAAGCAGGTGCCTAATTAATTTTTGTTATAGTTTTCTGGCATTTATCAAAAGACAAGCAGCAGGAATTACCTGTCTGCCTTTGGATGCATTTGGCAAGGGAAAATGGTTTCCAACAAAGTCTCCAATCTGCTTCAAGAGAACAGTCTGGATTTCACCAGCCTTCTTCTGCTTCCTCTTCAATATCTTTATTTGGCTGGAAGAAAAATATAGAAATTGTTATTAACGAATGGTGAAACAGATATTAGAAGGAGGTCTGCTCATCAACAATGTAGAGCAGTTATGCAATACAAGCATGCCTTGTGCCTTGTAGCCAATCACCATGCCATCTGGGTTTAATCTAGGCTGATGACATTGGATTTTCCTTCAAAGTGGAAATATTGAGACAGTGTAGCATGCACATCATGCCATCAATTATAGAAAATATTTGGATAAAAATGATATTTTGTAGAGGTTTCAGCATTCATATGATCTAAAATGCTCCTGAAGAGGGAGACATACGGTACTGATTTCAATAAAGACATAAATTGGTTAAGGTAGCTTAAAAGACATATCAGGTACGCAATCTGCATAATAGTTTAATAATCATGTTTGCTAACTAAAACTTCCTTTTTTCACATTTCTGAATGAAAGTTTAGCTAATGGTAAGCCTCATCAAGATAGTATATGTATGCATTTACCAGTTCCATATTCTAACAATGTGGTTCTATTGCTGAGTAATAAAAATTATGATTTTCAACAAGTATGACTATTTTGTATTCCTGATTTGAATTTTCGTGCCACTACATTATTCACTATGAAAGTTCCCCAAGCATCCATTTACACAATGCACCCGAATAGAGTATAAAATATCAAGAATATGATGTGACATCGAAGACATACCTATCTTCATTTGGCCTCGATGTGTTTCCTCCTTCCTCAGCTTCCCTCAGTCTAGATTCTAAAGCTCTGTTCATATCCTGATGCTGGGACAATAACTCCTTCTGCCTAGAGGTGAGATAGCATTAAAGGAAATTAAAACTTCAGAATTTGACAACAGAGAAATAGGAACTACTAAACTTCTTAAATAAATTTTAATACAAGGAGCTAGTAAAAGTTAGGAAAGGCAGGATTAAAAGGGCAGCTGACCCAAGCCAAGTATTACCAGGGGCATGTAGCCACTTAATCATTGGGCTGAACCATGCTCTCTTGTTTTCACAGCTTCTTAGAATGTGGGCATAATTCTGAGTGAGAGGTGGTGTGGTCTAGTCACCACTCAACAGACCGTGAATCACAAGGTACAGGGTTTGAATCCCTGCTGCAGCACTGATGTCCTTCAGCAAGACATTAATCTACATTTACTACATTTGAACCAGAAGAAGGAAGTGGGTATCTGGTAGGATTACTCCTTATGATGCACTGATATCAGTTACCGAAGCTACAACTGAGGTACATGTAATAATTTTTTGAAGTCTTACAAAGCGCATAGGGAGGTTACATTATAATGTAATAGTACATGTGCTATACATAATTGTCAGTATCATTACGACTGTTATTTAAGCACATCTTCATCCGATCACTGAGCTTGCCCAACATAGCAGAAGTTTAGCTTCCCTAGTTGCTAAATCAGACCTTAGCCTCCCCCGTTGCTCCTGCTCTTACCTCGCTAGATCATCCTCCAGCTCTCTCCGTCTCCCTTCCACCACAGATAGACACTCCTCCAGCTGAGAAACATTCCTCTCCAGATCCTCCTTCAACAAGGACTCCAGAATCACCGGATCATTGGGAAGCACTGAAATTGTGAATGTGAAAGTCATTAGAAAGGATTAAGTGCATTGTGACTAATTAAAACATATAGGCCTGAATTCACAAAAAAGGTTTACATTTAACCCATGGTTTAAACCTTCATTTACATAAATCATGGTTTAAAAATTAGCGCAAAATAAGCGTACCTTGACTCGCACGCGTCTAATATTGGACCTCTTGACTGTGCTGTGCTTATTTTGCGCTAATTTTAAACCATGGGTCATGTAAATGAAGGTTTAAAATGAAGGTTTAAACCCTGGGTTAAATTTAAACCTCCTTTGTGAATTCGGGCCTTACTGTTCAGAAGTACAAAAGTGGGTAACTGTAAAGGACTTCATTTTTCTCAAAGATAAGGGGTTAGGGTTAGGACTTGGTAGTGTGTGGTCCAAGATTGAAGTTTGAAATTCAATTATTGTAGCATATTGTGAATCTATTCACCTTCTTGGGATATATAGTTCACAAAAGAAAGTGAAGTAAAGGGGAAAATGGAACAGGAAAGTGGAAAAGAGGGATAAGGAAATATAGTACGGTAACTGAGCAGATCAAAATTATGGTACACTCACAGAATAAATTGAGATAAAATTACCTTTAACTTTTTTGGCTTTAACAGCATCAATTTCTCCTTGAAGACATCTTGCTTTCATTTGCGAAATGGCAGCCAGCTGTGGAAAGAGATTAGGAAAATAAAAAGACTATAGAATGAAAAACGTAAAAAAATTTACAAAGACAATTCAATAAAAAAAAAAAAGAAATTAGATCAAAATTACAATGTTTCATTTCCACCACACAAAAAAAAAACCACCACCACTATATTGCAAATTTAGTAAACCACTGAGAACTACATGTACAAGGAATGGCAACTGTGCGCAACCAAGATTCTGCACAGATTCACCAAGGTCTGAATTATAAGATACAGAAACGTGACACGTATTACACTTTACGTCATCATTATTTAAAAACACACAGTGGTTTTACAGCTTGATATCTGAACGGGGCAAAGAAGTAAAACAGAAAGATAAAATATTGTCTGTTCATGGGGCCAGAAGGCATTATCTCCCATGTGCTACTGTACCACAACACAGAGTTTATGCCCTTCTGGCTCTGAGAAGACTACTGGTACATTGGAGTGTACACTCTATAATCATAAAGCTACAGACCCTGCCCATGCAAGAATAATTGAATAAATATTGATCCAAATTGATCACAACATCTACCAATCTATGGCTAAGTTACAATGGCATATTTCTCATGTACAAAAGCTGCAATTTATATCAGACTCAAGACCTAATCACATGAATCATAACTCTCTATGATACGTTCTTACAGGGACTTATCACAACACAACTAGTTAAAGATGAAGTTGAGTTCTGGTCATGCGATTGCATTGTGAAAGAAACGGTGTGGAACCGACCAGAAAAGGTTGATCATCTAGCATATAAGAATTTGTGTGTATTGCAAGGTTCTGGAATCATCAAAATGATAAGAAATTTGGCCAAGTCTTGGTAAAGTTACAAACACTTGCACAGAAAGATGTATATGGGACTATACGAACACGTGGCGTAAAAAGCCGCCCCCCCCCCTGATTTTTAGAATATGAAGGCATTCGAAGAGCCATGCTTTTCAGGGAACATGTCTTAACTGATGTTCTTCCACACTTGCATAATAAGAATGAGTAATGCTCACAAATTATTTTGCACCTCTTCCCAGAACTCAACCTTCTCTTTAACATCCTTGATCTTATAGAACACACAGGGCTTCATGAAATCACAATTCTTCAAATAGAAATTTAAAAGGTTAGGGTTTCAACTTACAGCATTCTGTGAATCTCCAACAGGTCCATGTCTTGGCTGTGATAGTAGGACAGCTTGGTTCTAAAACAGTCAAAGAAAAAAAAGTAAGAATTTTAAATCAACAAAACATCTTTCATTTTTTCTTTCAATTGTAACACTGACAAAGTGGCACTGAATATCTAGTGGAAAACAAATAGAACATACCTCATTTGAAAATTAAACCAAATCGATGGAAAAACAAACACTTATTATAACAGAAATTCAAAAAGCTTTACTTTTGAGGAAAACAAGCAAAATAGCTTCCAACCAGGGATTATCGGATATAAGCAATGAAGTGGAGAACTTACCCTATTCACTTGCTTCCACGACTCCTCGCATTCTTTTTTCAGTATCAATTCAGAAACCTGCATGGGATTTTGAGAGGCCATGATTCCAAGACATCAAGTTGCCAGAAAGCTGGGTTACTGGATATCACTGATCGTAGATAATGAACAATTCAAAGAGTTTCACCTGGGGAAATAAGATGAAACTGAAATGAAGCAATTCTTTTTAGCTCATAATTATCACTCTCTCTCACACTCACATACAGTACACCCGGCCCATCTTTCTTTCTAACTCTCGGTCATAGATTCTCTAAACAAATATTTATGATGGTTAGTGCTATATGATGCAAGGTAAAAGAGAAGGCTCCATTTTTACAACCTGCATCATACTTGTCAAGATTAACATATTTCAACCTACTGATAGCGTGAATGCAATACAAAAATACAAGGGATTCTGCTCTCAAAATTTGGTGTCCAGAAACTTCTTATTTATGATGAAAAAAATTGATTTTGTACCTACATATAGATAAGGCGCATTTTGGTAAAATTGCAGATCTGTTTGCATCATGTCTTAACCACGCAAAACAGAATGAGTTCACAGTTGTGCTGTTTGCAGTTTTTATAGGGAAAACAGGAGATCTCAAATATGTACTGGAGAAATATATGTTTGAAACTAGATCTAGACTAGTAGTATGGTGGTGTGACCTAAGTTCACTATCTCAAAAAATCAGTAAGATTTCGAAAATCTGATATCACTGATGGTAAGATCGAGGAACATAAAATTACCCAGAGATGAATTTTTTTTTGGAATTGGGTACGAAATTGTGAAAATTTTGCAATCTTTTGCGTCCAAAAAATTATCAACTTGTAGTTACCTGTAGTTACCTGTAGTTACCTGTCTTCACGGGCTCTAATTTAAGACGTAGTCCTATAATGCCCACCTTCTTTCATTCAAAATCCACTGCATGTGATATCGCTTCATTATTTGCAGATATCAATCCTAACATGGAATGCAGACAGCTTTGCTGTCTGCTTAATACTGAAGTCTTACATGCAATCAATAATGTCATACATGTTCTTAATAGTCATATTTGTTGTACTTCGCTGAGAAAAATGCATCAAATTGACCTTTGAAGGCGTTGATCGATGCTGCTTCTACTGCCGACTTGGGGAGCATGTTCCAGTGGTCAACTACTCTGTGCGTAAAGCTGTTCTTTCTGATGTTCAAGCGGGCATGTTGCTTCTGAATTTTCATACTATGGCCTCTTAGGTTTATGCTTGCTTCCTTCATAGAAAATAGGCTATCTCTGTCCACGTCGTTGTGACCATTCATTATCTTGAATACCTGGATCATGTCACCTCGAAGACGTCTGTAGGCTAATGTTGGCAGGTCAAGTCTCTCCAGCCGGGTCACGTATGGGAGATCTTTAATGCTTGGGACCATTTTTGTTGCCCTTCTCTGCACTTTCTCCAGCTTTGTGATGTCTTGTCTGAGGAACGGATTCCACACACAATTTGCATATTCCAGGTGGGGTCTGACTAATGTTTTGTGCAGTAGACAAAACATATCTTCATCCATATGTGCAAAAGTCCTCCTTATTAGACCCACTATCCTGTTTGCTTTGTTGGCAACCTTCCCGACATGCTTGCTGAACTTCAGTGTTGGGTCGAATGTGACACCAAGATCCTTCTCCTCCTTCCTTACTTCCATGTTAGCCCTTGTTGTCCCATCTCTCATACTGTATGGTCTGGTTTCATCTTGATTCCCATAATGCATTACACCGCATTTACCAACATTGAACTTTAACTGCCATTTCTCTGCCCAGTCACATAAGCTGTCTAAGTCTTGTTGCATGGTTTTCCTGTCTTCATGTGTCTTAATATGGGTGTACACCTTGGTGTCGTCCGCAAACATTTCTGCATGTCCTTTCAAGTTGTCCGGCAGGTCATTGATATAGGTGATAAAAAGAATCGGGCCGAGAACACTGCCTTGCGGGATACCGCTCAACACATCCGCCCAGGACGACTTTTTCCCATTCACCGCCACACACTGTCTTCTCTCTTTCAGGAAGCTTTCTATCCAGTTCAATAGTTTTCCATGGATTCCATGTGCCTTCATTTTCTTGATCAGTCGTTGATGTGGTACTGAATCAAACGCTTTGCTGAAGTCTAGATAGGCCACATCAACACCGCCTCCTTCATCTAGCATACTTGTCCATGAATCCAGGACACTGATGAGCTGTGTCGCACATGATCTACCTGAACGAAATCCATGTTGGTGGTCGGTCAAAATCTTCTTCTCATCCATGAAGCTCATGATATGGTCTCGAAGTATTGATTCCATGATCTTGCAAATCACGGATGTCAGACTAACTGGTCGGTAATTTCCGGGTGATGTAGCCTTTCCTTTCTTATAAATGGCTGTCACATTCGCTTCCTTCCATCCATCAGGTACACGTCCTTCTTGAATTGACTTGTTGAAGATTACCGCTAGTGGTTCAGCTAAGACTTCTGCTGTTTCTTTTAAGACCCTAGGATGGAGCCCGTCTGGTCCTGGTGATTTGGATGGGTTCAGTTTTTTTAACTTCTTCAAAACTTCCTCAGTTGTAATGACTACTTCTTCAAGTGGGTCCCCATCAAATTTCACCTCTGGTTCTGGGATAGTTGTGACATCTTCTCGAGTAAACACACTCGCAAAGAACTCATTCAGAACTTCAGCCTTCTCTACGTCACTTGTAGTTTTACTTCCATCTTCTTTAATGAGATCACTAATGCCGCTCTTCACCTTTGTTTTAGACCTGACGTAGTTCCAGAATCCCTTGGGATTCTCTTTGATTTCTTGTGCTAGTCTTCTTTCAAACTTTATCTTAGCTGATCTTACATCTTTTGTAGCCTCGTTTCTGAGCTTAATGTAAGCTTCATAATCTCTGAAGTGCTTTGTTGCAGTGTATCTCTTCCAAGCATGGTATTTTTTCTTGACTTTGGCCAATGCTTCTTTGCACATCCATAGTGGATAAAGGTCTGAAAATCATCAATTTGAGAGCAGATTTCCTCAAAATTGTAAGTAAAAAGTGGTACCAACAGATTGTATGAAAGATATCTTGCCTTGCAAAATATGATTATTAGGTCTAGATCTACCTTATTTTTGATAGATCACATTTTTTGAGAGGGGTCTAAATCAACTGTAAACCACCGTGCCTGAAGTTAGGTCTCGTTGTTTTTATGTTTTTTTCTTTTAGATGCAGCGCACACGCACGATTGGACATCAAATTTTAATTTTAGATTGCGATATCTCCGAAATCCTTTGACGATAAATTTTCTAGTTGAACCAAACTGTAGTAAAAAACTTTGCCGTCCATAACTTAGGTAATTGAAATAAATAAATTTGTGCAGAATAAGAGAAATCATACATAGACATAGATCTAGGTCTAGTCTAGATCGAATATCACATTTTGTAATATTGTTCTAAAATGTCCGCGAACTTTGGTCACCCCTTCATACAACTACAAGTACTAGATCTATATCTAGGCCTACATTTTCAAAGATTACTCTGACTATATGGGGACTGTCAACAAAAGAAATGACCCACATCAGACGGTTATTTCTGTCTAGGACTAGGTAGACTTCTAGACTAGATCTAGATCTAGACCTAGATCTATGTTTACCTATAATGAAGTTTAGTTTACTACTAAATACTAGCAAAGCCAAAGTTTGCATTTGGAATTGTCATTAATGTAAAAAATAAGTCACTTTTATCTGATTGATACACGTAAAGAGGTCTGTACTCAAAAAGGAAGAAGGAAGAAGAAGGGGTCCTGGTCTGTAAAACCATTGTTTTGACGATCCTTGCTAAAATGCCGCAGAATCACCGCTTCAAATTGTGTGGAATTCTTGTCTGGATATTTCAAGACATTACATTCAATCATTAATTGACATTGAGAAGCTTAACTAATTTAAAATCTTTAAGATATGTATCTTACCATGTATTTCACACTAAAAGTGAAGATCCAAGAGTTGCCAACTACACAGAGACCGAGAACCAACTTACTCGACTCGACTCCAAAACAATCCGGTCCCCAGCGCTCCTATCCCTTAGCCCTCCGCCCGCCCGGCCTAGCGGGCTGGCCTTGCGGGGATATTGCCATATGAACGGTACGTAATTATATACGAGTCAAAGGTCCCGCGGTGCGGCCCTCTATCGTTCGTGTAGCGGCTTTCGATCGTCACCTCCTCCCCCCCCCCCCCCCCCCCCCTCCCTTCTGAACGTTAAAAGTTAGTCAAAACAAAAAAATGCTTCCTTTTTTTCTTTTGTATCAATCCAGTTTTTCTGGCCCAGATAAATATGTATTCTACAGCATAACCATTTCCTTCAAAAATGAACTCAACTCAAACCTAGTAAAAGCAGAAGAGACTAAAAAAGTTCTCAGTATTTTTCTCACTCAAAATTCTGATTTTATTTCTACAAAATCTATTGAAAACTTTTGGAAATCTCAATAATTTATAAATAATAATAGTCTGAAATGATGAATTTTGCCACACCTAATATTTTTGTTACTTTAGCTCTTTGTCCATTTCAAAATGTTCATTCATCCTTGACCTCTCATCCGTGTTTCCATATGAATATGTGCATTTACTACTTTGTATTATCTATTTGTGTATAATTTTCTATTGTATATTGTTCATAAGCTTTATGTAATGCCAACAACTGATTCCCCAAATGGACCAATAAAATTTATCTGAATCTTAATCTGAATTAATCAGGCAATTTTTTTTTAAATTTATGGGGGTGGGGGGGGGGGGGGTTGGGCCGAGGGCTTTGGAGAGGTAAGGAGTTCTCGCACACGTCATATTCTACATATTCCTCACTTAAATTTAGTAATCAAGAAAAAAGAAAAAATATATATAGTTTTGGGGCTAGAAGATTTGTAAAGAGTTATTTATTATAATACAAGTACATGCTTATATGTTCATGAAATTTATATGTATGAATATCATACTTTGTCAGCTAGGATTTTGAACTTGTCCATAAAACTTAAAATTTCAAATTAATATTAAAATACAAATATAACACAAGTATATGTGTTCATGGAATTTAAATGTATGAGTATCACACTGATATTTATTTCATCTTCCTTTACATTCATAAAGTGACAATGTAAAATAAAAAATACCAGCATGTGAAATAAACAATGTGGGATAAATGTTATATAATGGTTATAATACTTATAATAATTATTCTTAAATCAAGCCTAATAATTTTCGAATTTATTTTTATCATGATTTTTCCCCCAAAATGGATGAGATTGATGTAACTCCGGTTTAAAATTTGGAGGGTGAGGTGCAAATTTTCATGACTTGCTTGAATGCCTCGCGCAAGCGCTCAGATTTTTAAAACCTTCTTTTATTAAACTCTCACTAAAACCTTTTTTTTTAAACTCTCACCATCACCCATGTCATTTATAGAGTAGACAAGAAACTTTGGTGCACTTGAAATGTTTGTGAAGTTTGTGAGTCATTCAAAATAATTGAATCACAACTGACCCAACATTTAATTTTTTAAATTCACAAAGTTTCAGTTTCATGTCACAAAAGTTTCTGATATAACAGTACTTCATGAAGATGGAAAATTACATTCATAATACATGGAAAGCTAACAATGATAATATGTCTTTGACTAGTGACTGTACATGTAAATACGATTCTTGTAAATCAAATTGTGATTATTCATATTTTCTTTTAGATTCTAACAAATGTTATGCTTTTATGATCGATACTAATAACTTTTACTATATACATAATTATGTTTATATCTATTCTGGCAGTAAAAATCATGACTTGATCAATTACAACTATCTTTATGTCCATGACTTTGGAGGTTCAGCCTTCCAAAGATCTAACTTTAACATGATCAGAAATACTTTCAAGAAACCCAGTTTCGTTTTCATACATACTGTACATGGAATACCGGTACTGAATGTACATTCAACAACTAAAATTGAGCTGGTTTTCATGTTTGTATGTTGTAGCTGTGGTTTTTGGCACATTTTCCTCTTCTTCTTTTTTTTAAGAAAACAAAATTTGCTTTCCATATAAAGGCCTACGATAAAGGTTCTTACGGGACTTCACAAATGACAAACATTTTTTTGACTTGTATGTACATATATATACATGTACATGATAAACTTTAAAACAATCTGTAGTATATACATTATACACGCATTTCAGATGAAGAGAAAAATGGATGGGTACAGATAGGATATCTGAAAACAAACCCCAAAGAATCTGCAACAAAGAACAATGAGCTGATTTAGAGAGAGCCAAACCGCTTGCATTATCAGACTCATGGTATTATAAACAAAGATGATGACAAATCTGTATGTCAGCAGTGACTAAACATGTAGTTTAAATTAAATTTAATTAAATAAAACATTGAGGAGTTAAAACCTTCATGTAGACATATACATGGACAAATAAAAAGAATTTAATTTTTAATGTATTGCACAGGTTGATAAGTGTTATACTTGTTAAATAAAGACTAATTTGCTTTAAGCCATAGTCCTACTGCTCTGCTTAGAAATATGTGTATTTTGGAGAAGTTACTCATTAATCAATGTTTTGTACACAGAGCCTCCTCAACACCCCTCCCATCCCCCTCTTCCTTAGACCACACATATTCAGTTTTAAATGTGTTATAAAGCAAATAGAGTAAGTTAACTTTAATTGTAATGTATATTGGAAGGTAAACATAATCAGACTAATAAACAATTGGGCAAATGAGTGTTTGTGGAAGTAAAACTTTCACGAAAATAACACCTCAAAAAGATAATCATATATATGATCATCAAGTAATGACTACCTTGTAGCCTACCCCTTGCTTTGCTAGGAATCTTGCATTTTTCAAGCATGGGCTTTCAGGGCTTTAGATCCACTGCTTCTATTTCTTTGCGACATATGCTGGTACTTCTGTTACCGGCCAATCCTGTTTACAGATCCACATACCTGATATCCTGACTATCTCCGTTTCTAATTTCCTTTAGCTTCATATACCACTCAATGACCTATTTACTGTACCGGATGGTCATTATGTCCACATAAAGTGACCTACAGAAATGAAGAGTTATTTTTCATTATGATGTATAAAAGAGATCTAATGACACAATCAGATACACATCCTTTTTATATCCTAATAAGACATAATTCACCATGAATTGTACTTCAAAAGTAAAAAAATGAAGTTGTACATGTTATAAATGTTTACAATTTCTTTGCATTTACCATACTCCATAATCTGTGTTTAAATGTCAAAATGAAAGATGATTGATGAGATAAGAGGTCTATAAACTACCAACACTACAGGTCGTAGAGGAACTTATAAGCATCTTCACCGAGCAGTTTGATTTTCTTACATGCCCCTAGCATGGCAGACACAGTGGCCTTCTTCCCCTGACTACACTTCCACTTGTAAAGCATATCAAAGATCTGACTTTGGGTGTTGTATCTATTGTTCTCTTTGCACTGGTAGATGACAGCTTTACTCATGCCAAGTATGAGGGCCAGCATTTCCCAGTGTTCTCCGAGGTCTTGGGCTAGATCCAGTAGGTCTGGATCCTTCAGAACTTTGTTTGGGTTTTTAGGTTGAGGACCCCTGTCCGCACCATGCAAGGGCAAGAGTCCTATGCAGCCCTTTACATCTTCTTGTAGATTCTCTTCATTACGCATGTCAACATCGCGCATGCTATTAATTGAGTCAATGCCCTCGGCTGAAAAAGAACAAACATTGGATGAGTACAAGTCAAAGAACATATGTCCTGAAACATTGAACAGGGATGAAGATATTCCGCCAATTTAGAGATTTCAAAACGGGGGAAAAAGAAAATAAAAAAATAAAAATCTCTCTTATCTGAACAATCAAATATTTCTCAAATTTAGAATTTAAATGCAAGGAAAACGCGTCCTTTTACGTTAATATATTTTTAAGTTTTCTACCCCTGTAAGGGGCCACTGCCCCCGGAGCCCCATTTAATCTTCCTCCTTTTTGGGAATTTCTCTGTCTCATCCCTGATGGAATGAATATATATAGAAATATCAAATAATATAAACTAGATGGAACTTCGACTGCACGCAGTCGAAAATTATGCCTCCGCTATAGAGCGATTTCACAAACCAAAACAGAACCAATTTTTCAAATTCAAGTTTAATCGTAATCCAGTTATAACAGGTTCTCAGAATATCGTGATTACAAGCTGTTTTTCATATACATGTATGACCCTTTTATCTTTGACCTCATGACCCTAAAATCCAATCAGTTCATTGGCTTTGCAAGATACATACATGTCGTGTTAGATGGTAATCCGTCCATTGGTTCTAAAATTGTTGCATATATAGTGAGCCCCATGACCTTTGTCCTTTGACCTCATGACACCAAATCTAATCAGTTCATTGGCTCAGCAAGAAACATACATGTCCTGCATACGGCAGGAATCCATCAATCAGTTCTTGAGATAAACGCGATCACGAGCTATTTTTGCATACATAATGAGCAATGTGACCTTTGACCTCGTGACCCCCAAAATCTAATCAGTTCATTGGCTCAGCAAGATAAATACATGACCTAAGTTTGGCAGGAATCCATCAATCGGTTCTTAAGATAACGCGATCACGAGCTATTTTGGCATACATAATGAGCACTTTGACGTTTGACCTCGTAACCCCAAAATCTAATCAAAATTATCAAATCATTGGCTCTGCGAGATACATACATGACCCAAGTTTGACAGGAATCCATCAATAGGTTCTTGAGATAACGCGATCACGAGAATGGGACGGACAGACGGACAACCCGAAAACATTCATTCATTCATTGAATACTTGTGCCTATGTGTAGTTCAGCTAAAAATGAGAAGAAAATTTAAGGGGAGAGGGTGACAGACATTTAGAACAGAAAATTACCTTGAATGGGCAGCTTTTCTTCCTCCTCCATTTCCTCTTGAAGTCGATCATATACCCACTGTTCATGTTTCTTCATTGTCTCATAAAGATGCATGGATCCATCAGTTTTTGTAAGGCTGCTCTGGAGAGAGATATAAGCTCCATCCCCTCTCCTCGGCAAGATGTCCAAAAGGGCAGCTACTTTTTCTCTTCTTGTTCCCTTGGTGTCGATTTTATCGCGATCATCTCTAGATATGGCTTCATCACCCAACAGATATGGTACAATATCATCAGAATCAAGGTCGTTTAAAAAGTCAGGGGCAACCTTTTCCAGAACCTTGCGGTGAGGTTCGGTCATCGACATTGTGCTCTAGTATCTGCAATGAGGATGATAGAAAATAAGAAATGTTTTTCTCAGTATGACCGCATTTCTATCACTTTTGAATCAGAGTTGTTGTTGTTGTTGTTGTTTGTTGTTGTTGTTTTTTGTTGTAATGGCAATCAGTCAAGACCTGACTATTATCACCAACGCCTTTCTTTTTAATATTAATTTCCTTCTTTCTCTCTTTTTCTCTCTTTTAAAAAAAATAAAAGTATCATCAGGATCTATTTTTAAATGGTTAAGGGATTCATACGTACTAGGTTGTCTAAGATAATCTTATAGATAGCCTTGATAGTTACACTGGGCCTGTGGACCGGGTGACTTTCTACAATGTGTAAGTGCACATTGAAAGCTTTGGGAGTTTCATAGGAGCAACATCGCCACACTGGCTGCTATGATTACAAAAAGAACACCCCAAAAAGCCTGAAATTGCTACAAACTGTCTCCATACATGATCAAGAAGATAGAGATCTAATCATGGAGTAATATATTGGATTGTCCTACTTTATAAGCTCTTTTGACAAGATTTGTGCTTGTTATTCTGGCAAATATACTCCTGCAATGGAGACGTCAATTTGATGATGAGGGCGATGATGATAACTAGTAATAGATCTAGACCCTAGATCTAATAATTATAACAACACAATATTAAATAATAATACTAATGATATTATTAACATATCAATATTGTTATTGTTGTCGTTATTAGATCTATTACTAGGACCTTTATCAAGATTCACCATCACGCATTATAATTTATTAATTATCATTATCACCATCATCAATTCAATATTATAAACATATGAACAAATTTGACCCACATTCGGCCAAAAGATCAATGAGGCATTTTGTGTACCTCCCACACAGACGACGAACATTCGAGTGCACTAGAGCATAACACCAAGGTACCGGACTCGTCGATTTTGATGAAATAGCGGTTTATCATAGAAAACAGGTGAGAGTGTGAATGTCAACACCGCTGTGCGAGCGTGACTTGTCAACTCTGTCTCTCTCTCTTCCCTCTTCTTCCCCCGAAAAAAGAAAACAAATCAGGAAATTATATATGTCAGTCTAGTAGATGCAGATGCACATCACAATGCATAAGTCCACTCCATTGTCATCCCTCCGTCTAAGATGGGCGGGATCACCCTGCAATATGAATACGCGATTCCTTCACTAGCAGATCGACCATGAATATTTAGATCTGCTCATAAAGCGAGTTCAGAGTGCCATTAATTTGCTAAATTTCAGGAAAACTAAAGAATTCAGTGTATCGTGAGAGATATAATCTAATCCCTACACACCTTTTTTTGTAAAAGATCGTCCATAATATCTAAATTCCCTTCAGTAAATTGCTGAAATCAACATAAAATGTGTCTTTTCCATCGCCGCGGTGCTGAGTCAAATTTGGTGGTCGAAATACGCACGGCTGCGAGCACGGTGTGTGTAAGCCTCATTGTCCGCTGTGTAAAAACTTCGCTTACGCACAATGCATAAATTACGGAGGTCGATGCGTAAATTTATGAAAGCTTCTTTTTATTGGATTGAAATTGGCCCTAATTTCTCAACAACCAATCAAATTATGTGTTACATCAGATGGTAGGGGATTATATACCCTATGTTTTTGGCGTCCGAGACCACCAAATAACTAGTAGTAGTTACGAGCATTATCTCCTTGAAGTACACAACCCCAGTGAAAAAGGCGAATTATCCTCTGACCTCTATAGAGAAATCACAAATTGAATGATTGTTGTCTATTTTTAAAGACGAAAAGGTCCTATTTTCCAATATACAAATCAGTTCGAAATTGGTACCAGTGAAAAGAACAGTATTTGAATATGATTTCCACCCGAGATGGTGTGTAATCAAAGTTTGTTTTCCTTGTAGGAGCATTTCTTTGCACACTTAGTGCATTTTCAAAGACGATTTCACGTGTTGTAGACCGCGGAGCGAGACCGCGTGAGCAGATGCCCAAAATTTGTTCGTATGCAATAGATCAATTCTAAGTCGAACACACATCAATAATATAACAATAGACTATTCAATAATTAATATTAATAATCACAATTATCTAGTCAAAATTGGCTGGTTTCTAATGAAAATAAAAAATCAATTAACGACAATGCATCATCAAGATATGGGAAGACTAGACTCAATTCACCGTCGGATGTTTCTACATGATGCTGTTAGTGTTACTTGTTAGTAAGAAATTCTAACAAACACATATTTCAACGAATGGGACAAGCACACAAATAATGTCTTCCTGGTATAGTGGTAGTGGTAACCGTCATTATGTATATGGTAAACGATAAATCTGATAATAACCAATAGGTCAACGTTACACATCTCTTAGATTTAAAGGCACTATACATAGTCTATATTCAAAAGAGAATTATACAAACCTATAATACGCGATGTTAGATCCAGTCATCAGTAGCTGCCAGTGCAGTAGCTGCGACTAGCTCGCTCAATAAAAATGTCCTCTAGCTCGCTCTTGTAAATGCAAGATTCGGGGATTCCCGGAGGCGACTTTGCGTTTTACACCCTGGCCTGGACATTTTCCCGGTAAATAGCAATGAAACTGCTTGAATGAGTCTAGTCTACGCTCCTCGATCGGGCGCGCCAGTTCCAAATCGAATCGTACATGCACAGACGTACGTCACGAAAAAAAAAAGTAAATGAATGTAAAGCAGTAAATAAAGTGCAAATGAATTCATGTAAAACTGGTGTATAATTTCCTTTATATGTTATGTGTCTGTACATTACACTAGACAAAGTGATGAATGGAAAAAGAGAGAAAGAGAGGTCTTATAAACAAATATCATGAATTTAAAATGAGAAAGAGAGAAGGGAGAGAGAGACAGATCGAGTCTTAGAAACAATATGAATTCAAGAAGTGAGAAAGAGAGGGGGTCTTAGAAACAAATATCATGAATTGAGAGCTAGAGAGAGAGAGGTCTTAGAAACAAATATCAAGAAATGAGAAAGAGAGGGGGGGGGGGGTCTTAGAAACAAATATGAAGAGAGAGAGAGAGGCCTTAGAAACAAATATGAAGAGGGGGTTAATGAGAGAGAAAGAAAGAGGGGTCTGAGAAATACATACGAGAGAGAGAGTGGGTCGAGAGAGAGAGAGGTCTTAGAAAACAAATATGAATAGAGATGGGGGGGGGGGGGGGGGGGGGGAGAAATGGGTCTTAGAAAACAAATATGAAGAGAGATGAGGGGGGGGGGGAGGTCTTAGAAAACAAATATGAAGGGAGAGGGGTCAAGAGAATTAGAGAAATTAGGTCTTAGAAACAAATGACATGATTTAAAAAATGAAAGACGTGATCCCACAATAATAGGAAATGGTACGAGTGCAATATTTAAATCACAGTTTATGTATTATATTACCATTACACATATTATGTCGAGTGTAGTCTGTGTATGTGTCGATATGTGTACACGTGTGTTAGGGGGGGGGGGGGGTCCGAATCAGCAAATGGTTTGAAAGTAGGCTACACGTCAAAAATTGAAACCCTGAAGAAGGCGGAATTAAACCACAAAAACCATAATATTATTTGGTTTCTCTCTTTCCTTACTTTGATTAATTCCTTCTCTAATTTCTCTCTTTCTTTCAAGTTAGTTTTTTGTTTTCTCTCTCTGCTTATGACATTCTTTGTTTCCTCTCTGTTCTTTAATTATTTATTGTTTTTCTCTATTTCCTTCTGTTGTTATTCGTTGTTTTTCTCTCACTCGTACGTCTCGATACAAAAGTACATGTACCGCGTACCGCGATAGGACGTACGTTGAGCATTGCAGAAGAGCTACGTGCGCGCGCAATATCTTGTCATGGATAGACTTTTCCCAGTCGGTTCCTTGAAATTTATTGGGAAAAGGTCCAGGCCAGGGTGTAAAACGCAAAGTCGCTTCCCGGAGATAATTGCGTCATCGTCATGTTCATAATTATGTCGCTCTCTCAGTATCCTAATTCTTATCCATGAAAAATAAAAGCTAGGATCTAAGTGATTTTGGACAATCAAAGTTAGGACCATTACGAAATAAAAAGACTTCATATGTTCACGATTATGTGCTGCTTAAATGTTAAAACAAAATTAAGGTGGTGAAAAGAGGGGAAACTCGCGGTTCCCTCGATCTTCTTAAAAATGGGAGCTGTAATATATATGTATATATATGGATAGAATGTTTTTCTAATTATTAATCTACTGAAAATGTATTAACCCCGATCCCCTTTATTACATATGAATAACACTATATATATAAGGAGCAATTTACCGGCAGAGACTAGAAAATATAGTGTGAGCCCGGTGTGAAAATGAAAAGATTGGAAAATTATTACCATTCCCTTTCGACGGCACCCGCCGTTTTTTTCCCCTAAGGGTAGTAAAATAGTTATCAACACAATCATGCCTTTCTTTCCTAATATGTAGGGGCAGGCGCGTACGCAGGGGGCGGGGGGGGGTGTTTTGGGGGGTTAATCCCCCCTTTGGTATTTTTATGTGTATAAACCCCCCTAAAAAAAAAAAAAAAAAAAAAAAGCCCTTTGGTTTTTTTTTTTTTTTTTTTTTTTTTTTTAATGATAAAAAAATATTAAAAATTCCCATGGCTGACCTAAAAAAGGTAACCTTAGCCCCCCCCCCAACGGAGCAAAATGTCAAATTTTCGAATTTCGAGACCAAAAAAAAAAAAAAAGTGTCCTCTTACCCCCCCCCCCCCCCCCCCCCCCCCCCCCCCCCCCCACCCGCTTATTCAGCGGCTGGCTGAGTCGATGCGAAATTTTAATTCTGATTTAAAAATGTTAAACCCCCCCCCCCCCCCCCTTGAAAAAATCCTGCGTACGCGCCTGTGTAGGGGTGCTCTTTTCTCTATTGAAGCTCGTGGAATTCACATTTAATCTCTTCCTTTTACATGTAGGCCTATTTGGTTTTAATTAATCATTCATGAGATAATATTCTTAATTACCTTTACATGCATTATTCAAGCGAAACTTGAAACTTGGGAATGTGTCAGTTTGCAACAGAAATGGAGAAACGCGGATTTTTTTGAAAATCATGTGATATCAGGAACATTTATAAATCGCTAATTTGTATCGAATTGAAAATAAGTCATGGCGCCCCCCAAGCCCCCCCCCCCCCCCCCCCCCCCTCACCAGTACGTCAGTGAGCTCAGGGGTTTTAGGCATTTAATTAAGGTCAGATGAGAAAAACCATGCCATTTCAGCAACATTTGTAAATCACTGGTATCGAATTAGAAATAAACCATGTTTGAATTTTATTAAAGACCCCCCCCCCCCAGCCCCCCCCCCCCCCATCATTACGCCAGTGCAGGGCAGCATATTGAACGAGAGGAGTGAAGGTGACGGAAGTGACAGGTTTTTGAATTTTGTTGTATTAACAAAATACATTCTTTAGCAAAACAATACTATAAAAACAAGCAATATACCTTTTTCACACATCACTTTTCTACAATATTTACTTGTACACTATGAAAAATATTATGCGAGGGAGCATGGCTCTCGATCGAGCGAGAAATGTTTTGCATTTTTGTTTGTCTAAACGCTGCGCTCGTGGGCCCTCCTGAGTCTATTTTGATATACACTTATTTTTGTGCACTTTTTCAAATTTTCTTTTTAAAAATTCCTGAGGGGGGGGGGGGGGGCGGGACGTTCCGGGATCGCTGCCCCTGCCAGATAGGCTACACGGTGAATATGTCTGAGGAAGAACTTCAGGTGCCTTCTATTACAAACAATGTGCCTTTTTTAAAAAGGTATCATGTCATATCATATATCATATTATTTCACCATTTAAAGTATGACTTAAATGTTTTGTTTTGTTTTTTTACTTAATTGATGGATGATCAATGAATGAGATGAAACAATAATGTTGCTTCATGCGCAAATATTAATTTTTCTGAAAATTCAGCGTTGGAATGCTAGCAGTCAAAATCACCTTTAGAGCATATTATTATAAGGTCTTTACTCAGAATAAGACTATTATGGCATTCAGAACTCATCCCAATGAAAAAAGAAACTGCACATTTAATATGTTATGAACATTTACGTCTCCTTTTATATGTGTATACATTTGATTTGATTTATTTTTTCTGCATATTTTTTTCTTTTTTCATCATACATTTTCATGAACATAATATGGTTTGATACAATATTTAAGTGTATATAATTGTATACAGATAATAAACGAATTTAAACAAATATATTGAATGCACACAGTGGCGGATCCAGGGGGGGCCCCCCCCCCCCCCTTGAGAAAAAAAATCATGTAAAATCACGTGATTTTTTACCTTTTATGGGGTTGGGCCCCCCCCCCCCTGGCGCTCAAGGGGGGGGGGGTGCAAATCGAAATTTTTTTGAGGATCAAAAAAAAAAAAATGTGCTCACTACCCCCCCCCCCCCCCCCCCCCCCCCCACTGAACGAATTTGGCCGGCGCGTTTTTCAAATTTTCGGGAGCAAAAAACAAAAAAACAAAAAAAACAAAAAAATTGTGCTCTGTACCCCCCCCCCCCCCCCCCCCCCAACTGAGCGACTTTTCGGCCGGCGCGATTTTCAAATTTTCGGGAGCAAAAAAAAAAAAAAGTTGGGCCCCCTCCCCTAAGAAATCCTGGATCCGCGCCTGAATGCACAATCAACATACATGTATGTATTCTGGTAGTAAAAATCATGATCCTGATCAATTACAACTATCTTTATGTCCATGACTTTGGAGGTTAAACCTTCCAAAGATCTAACTTTAACATGATCAGAAATACTTTCAAGAAATCCAGTTTCGTTTTCATACATACTGTACATGGAATACTGAATGTACATTCAACTGAAATTTAGCTGGTTTTCAGTGTTTGTTGTATAGCTGTGGTTTTTGGTTTATTCCTCTTTTTTTCAAAGAAGAAATTGCATAAGATTCTTACTTCACAAATGACAAACATTCATAATTATGTTTGACATGTATGTACATATACATGTACATAATAAACTTTAAAACCATCTGTAGTATATATACATTAAAAACACATTTCAGATGAAAACAAAATGGATGGGTACAGATGGGATATCTGAAAACAAAACCCCAGCAGTGACTAAATATGTTGTTTAAGTTGAATTTGATTAAATAAAACATGAAGGAGTTCAAACCTTCATGTTGACGTATACATGGACAAATACAAAGAAATTAATTTTAATGTATTGCACAGGTTGATAAGTGTCATACTTTTTAAATAAAGTCTAATTTGCTTTATGCCATGGCCTTACTGATTTGCTTAGAAACTTTTGAATTTTTGAGAAGTTACTCATTAATCAATGTTTTATACAAAGAGCCTCCTACTCTAATCTACCTCAGTACCTCTCCCCTCCCCTTCCCCCTCCCCTTCTCCTTAGACCACACATATTCAGTCGTAAATGTGTCACAGAGTAAATAGAGTAAGTTAATTCTAATTTTAATGTATATTTGGAA